ACGAATAGAATTAAATAGACGATCCGGTCTTTTATCAAGGTTACTTGACAGACGATCAAAATTATCTTTCACTTACAAACTACATAATACATAAGGATAATGACATACCAATAATTTCAGATATTGCACAAGATATTGGCCAATATAATCTCGTTATTTTGACATGTTGAGAAGGCGGAGGTCACGTCAAAAGGGCCAATACTTTTGTAGTCCATCTTTTTTTCTCGAATTTGCGATCAAATTATCTTACGATTCAAGTGGCCCACAAATGGATATTCATGAGCTTTTAGCCCCTCATTGAATTATTTAATTTAATGAGAAAACGTCCCATTTCTGAGAATTTTCATTGATAAAAAAGTTGTAGGTTACGTTGAGATGAAGCCATCCATTCACGAAGTTTTACATGTATGTTAGTAATTTGATGAAAAGAAATATGTAGAGCGGTCTGTTTGGGATCTTACTCAATAAAAACCAGATATACAACTCTATTGAGGTATGCTAAAACTCAAATTGACTTACAAATAATTCTATTATTTGAAATAAATCTATATTTATTTACGTTTTGTTCCAGACTTGAAGATGTTCAAATTCTTCATTCTCATAGCAATCGTAACTATTTCGATTTACCTTGACTCCACCACCGAACGTCCTCAAGGAGGTATTGTGGAGGATATGGAGGGAAGACAATCAGGATTGATTGGAGAGGGTAGTAGCCATGGCGGAAGGCTAAGGTACCACGTCCATAAATCTTTCCAGCTTACTAACAAGACGAGGATACCTAGATACCTCCGGATACTGGCAGCACACCTGGCAGACTGGAGCGTCGCCCCGTGACGACTTCGGGCTCAGTGGCTCGCTACACAATCAATTCCAGAAGGGTGATAAAGGAGATTCATGGGAGGCATATGCGGGATTTGCACGGAATTGGGTGAACAAGCCTACTAATGAGTACAACCTTGGTTTCCGATATAATTATTAGAAACCTAGTTACTGGTTGATGTATATTTAGTATGTTGAAACGTTGCTTTATAAAATCTTGAGATTATGCATGTATTAAATTTCTTAAGTTTATAATTTTACATAATTGATCCGTGGAACGTATTTGAATATTACCAAGATTTAATTTTCTAGTCCCATCCTTCGGGTTTGGTGCCATTTTCTCATAATTTAACATATGTCTATGATAGGCCATAGGTCACCAAAAAAACACAGTTTTTTTATATATTACATGTATGTTTATTCAACGTTTCGGCTTCTAACATATGTCTATTATAGGCCATAAGTCACCAAAAAAACACAGTTTTTTTGGTGACCTATGGCCTATAATAGACATATGTTAAATTACCAAGATTTACTGTAATAAATAAAATTGTATGTTATGTGTAATGTAATATATATATATATATATATATATATATATATATATATATATATATATATATATATATATTATTATCAAATTTATCTCGGGATCAAGTAATTGATTTATTAAATGGGAACAATTGGATAGCATTGGTAAATTACTGCAAGTCTGCTTCCTCCTGTAGAATAATGCTCACCAGAGAATTTAACAATTAATAAATTGGAGAATTTCGGTACCACTGTATTTTGTATTTAATATATTTGTATAACTTTAACATTGTAAATATAATTGCTCTTATTTTCCTATTAATTATTTGTATATAAATAGACTGAAATATAATTTTGTTATGGAACACAGACTCCTCTGACGGTCATAAGACCATTTAGCACGTCTGATTTTCAGTTTTAAAATCAAAAATATTATTTTGTAATATACACATATGTACTCATACACACTGCATAAACAGTTTTTAGTGACTTTCATATTTTATTTTATTATAGTATTTGGAGAGTAGGAGGATTACAGGAGCTGTCCTATTAACTGTATAATTAGCACTAATTTTACAGCTGATCATTTAATTACATATGTGTTGAGCTCCTGTAACCTCTTATTATCCTAATACAAAATAGAGATTTACACCCTGGTGTCTTCGTTACAGTATTAAGCTTCTGTAACATCCTACTCTACTGGTACAAAATAAAGATTTTAGACCAAACATTTGTACGGAAAATGGTATTCATCAGGAGGTAGTAGTTTGATTTTACCTAGCTGACACCTGTTATTTTTCGATCTAGACATCCCCCCTTCAATACAATAAATTCATTATTATGTATAATATTATTTATATTATATTGTGATATAACTATAATTATTATAAAAAAGAAAAGGAAACACAAAATAACGTACAATGAAAATATTATAAATAAAAGGCTCAAATTGATGTTGTCCTTGTATGAGAAACTGAACATGTTGAATATAGATCCATAAGTTCCTTCGGTTTTTGTTAGTTGTGCGAAATTGTTTTAAAATATCTGCAGTTCTCTTCGCCTTGTCTGACAATAATGATACTTATCGGAAAAGTCAAAGTCGGTTCTTCGAAACTGTTGTGTTTGGTTTCATTCGAATTAGTTTTTTTTTGTGCTACATCGCAGTGATTATGACAAATGATAAGCTGTATTTTCGGCATACTTAAATATCGGACCGGATATACCGGTAAGGTATATCGGACGATGCCTTAACTAAACGTACTGCTCAAAAATGGTTTTCCAAGTTCCATTCCGCAGATACGAGTCTCGAAGATGAATCCCTCAGAGGTCCGCCCACCGAGGTTGATTCGAGTGATATCACGGCTCCAATCGAACAAGGCCCGCCGCTACTGGTACGAGAAATTGGGGAGACACTGAAAATAGGTTTTGGAACCGTCCGAAGCCGTTTAAAACATTAAAACTGGAACATTGGAACTGTTAAAGGCATTTTTTTCTCAAACAATTAGAGACGGGTGATGAAGAGTGGATCATCTACGACAATGTAGTGCGCAGGAGATCCTGAACAGCTGCTGGCGTACCGCCTAATGCCACTCCGAAGGCCGATCTAGATCCGAATAAGATTTTGATCTTCATATGTTGGGATTATCTCGACTTACTATTTTACGAAATGGAAATGGAAAAGAAATCGAAAGTTTGGGTGTCTTAATAATGACAATTTGAATGTTGATTTCAATAAAGTTAAAACCGGAGGCAAAAGTTATGGAACGACAAAGAACAAACTTTTTTTTTTAATAGATATCAAAATAAATTAACTAATAAAATGATTAAAATACAAATTTCGTAGACCTGTCCCTTTTAGAATGAGTAGGTTCAGCTTAGGGCTCCTATTCCTAGAATGGTGACATTAACAACTCTTCTTCATCCGAAATGCTGGATTTAGGATACAATATCCACGGTAGATGCCTGGAGAGGGTTTAAGATTTTTTCGTCAGCCTAATTCATTATCTTAAGAACTGCATCCATACAGTTCTCGGTTTGAATATATATCAATCTCAGACCAGATCTCCTACCACTTCCAACAAGCAAGGGAGCAAGAAAGGAAGATTCGTTCCGCATGTTCCATTTTAGGCATCTCTGGTTGACAAACCTACTACCATCGGAATTGGTGGGGTTGGAATGGTAAGTGGATAGGGTAATTGTCCTGGAGCCGGTGGCAAACAAGGTGTAATATTTCATACTAAGCTTTGTTCTTATAAATTGGTCATAACCACAGGGCTGATGAGAAACATGCACGTCTGCCAGCATACAGCCGCTGGAATACAAAATGGCGACCATGTGGAGATAGATCGAGACCCTACATGGGTTGTAAGCGTACATATATGGAGGGAATATAAACATATAAAGCTAAGCTCTTTCAATCAAAACGCAAAATGCAGCAGCTCTCTCCAAAATAATCGCCGCGAAGTACTGCTAAGGTTTACATTCCAAAAAGGCCCATTTATGTGTTTGGTGGAGTATGCCCGGCGTTGCTCATTTTGAAGTGCTGAAACCTGGACAAACTGTGAATGCAGAACTTTATTATGAACAATTGGCTCGTGTGAATCAATCCTTAATTGAAATGTGACCAGGGATTGTCAACAAAAAAGGCATCTTATGCAACACGAAAATGCAAGATCGCACTGCGTAATACAGAGCCTATAAACAATTAATGAATTGGGATGAGAGGTACTTCATCCACCATACTCGCAACATGTTCATCCGACCATACTTGCTCATCGGATTTCCATTTGTTGGGATCGTTTCAGTACCAAATGATTTGAAAATTTTGAAGAAGTCCAAAATTCCATTTCTATCGATTTTACTCATAAACCAATTGATTTTTATCCATCCTGCATTGAAAATTTGCACAGTTGATTTCAAAAGGTTGTTAATAATGAGGGTGATTCAATCAATGATTAAAAATAAAAACTAGTGTGAAATTTATGTGTTTGAATTCAATGTAAGGAAACGACATTATTTTCCGGTCTCCCTAATATATTGGTCAAATAGGGCTTGGTGTCGACAAAAAAACAAGGTGTTGACAAAAAAAAAACTATTCAAAGATTTTAAAAAGATATTAGATATGGTAGTTTTGAGCTGTAAAAGAAGGTTTATTTATTATCTGGTAGGAAAAAATTAATCTTTCTCTTGGAGTAAATATTTTATTTCTTATGTTTTCCGCTATCATATCCAACGTTTCGGAGCTCTGCCCCATCTTCAGGGATATTCCACAATATAATTATCATCATTGTCATTCCTGAATATGGTGCTGAGACCAAAAACGTTGAATATGTAAGCTGAGAACATAAGAAATAAAATATTTACCCCAGGAGAATGATTTATTTTTTTTCGCATACATTTAAGAGAATAAATATATATATATTTTTTTTTATTATTATTAATTGGCTTGAGGCACCCCGACTGTTAAAGGGTCTATTGTGGTGCGGTCTTATATATATATATTTAAATAAATTTATTATTATAATAATTTTTCTGTAAGAATTCCGATCAGTCTAAGTGATCTTTCATCAGTGCGAGTACCTACCACCAGGTGGCAGCGCCAGCACATGCGCGACCACTTTCGTCATTGGCCGAGGAGTAACGATTCAGTTCTTGACAGACCTCCGGCGGTGGTGGTGCGTGCGTGTGTGTGCCCTATCTGTGTATATCGCTCATGTAGCTGTCATGGCACTTTTGTAGTTGGGAACTCATGTCTGGCGAGGAACTGAGGCTCATCGAAGCAAATGTGTTCAATATGCCCGTTCAGGCCATCCGTAAGTACAGGAAGGACAGTTCAGAAGTGTGCTGCTGTCTCAAGTATTTCATCTTCGGCTTCAACGTCTTGTTTTGGGTGAGTTTCTTCTTTAAGTTTTGAGAAAAAATTTATAATACATAAAATTATTAATGCATTAAATAAAAGTTAAACGAAAAAAAAAATCCAATATAGAAATTGTAACATATACTCTAATTTGTTTGACAGTCCTTTCTTTGAACGGAACCTACTATTTTTAATACTTCTTCTGATAAACTTTGTGTTAACGAATGTATAATTCTGATTATGGAGTTATTTTTTAAAACCTTGGTTTCATTATTATTATTTAACTTATCTTATATATTTTTTGTATTTTCAGTTTCTTAGATGATTCTTGGAGAACAGCATGCATTTTTTATTGCTAATTTCATTAATGGAAACATTTTAATGATAATTGATTAATAAAAGCTTTTGTGGATATATTAACGATTAATTCAATGGAATTTAGCCAGTTTTATATTTAAGAATTCATATGCCCTCTTGCCAATCCATAACAAAACAAAATGCTTGTCAATATCAACTTCATAGGATTTTCTTGGAATTTGTCAACTATCAATGCATTTATTCAGAATTAACTTTATCAATATTCATTGGATATTATTAGCACCTGAAGAAATCTAGTTAGTATATTCTTAAGGAATAATTTGTCTATATTAAAAAAATATAAATGTTCCGTAATTATTAAATCGAAGGTACTGAAACATTAATATCCAGAATGATATTTAATAGTTGATGTTCTAAGTAAGCATAATATAATAATTGTTCAAGTCTTCGTATTTAAAAAAATGTCTATGAACTATTGTTATATGTCTTCAAAATATGTAAATAACATCCAAATATTTATTATATATATATAAATGATATTCAGTATCCAACTGGAGTCATATCATAGTTCATAGACATTTTTTAAATATTTTTTTAAATACAAAGACATGCAAAAAATATTTACGTTATCCTTACTTAGTACATCTTCACCTAACAACAGCTAATAAGTTGTATTGTTATTACACCTGAAATGTCAGAAACAATGAAAACTGTTGTCCTTCGCTGCTTAAATTGCCTTATTCAGCAGCCGATAGTAGGAGAAATGAAGCAAGAAATTTCCTAGAATTAGGAACTTATCAAAAGAAATGAATGTTACACAATTTACCTTGTACCCATCTTCAGTGGTTCCAAACTTGTTAAAATATGAAGGGAATTCCTTGAACAAATGTGTGTTGTTTTTTTTTTAACTGTAGTTTGAATCATTTGAATTTCTTATTTGATATTTTGTTTTAATTTAATTTTTAAAAGTAATAATTATCAGATTATGATCATATGAAGTCGTTTATAATAAACTAATAATCAAATAAAAATTTGTCTTATTAGGGAGCCATCCAACTAATGTCCAATCAGAAAAACATATCACTGTGAATAAGGTGACATCGATCCCATTCCTAATGATTCTGACATTTTTAATGTAGTATTCTATTTAAATCAATGAACTATTGCCGGTTGATTGGGTGTTTTGAAATGAAAGTAAAAAAATCTGTCGGCTAATAACATCTTCGTTTATGTTTGTATGTAGTTTTTATTGTTTGTTTTACATTAAAAAAAAAAACAAGGATTACAAAAAGAAAAAAAATTAAAGAGGGTAAAGAATAAAATAGTAATTGAAATTTGATTGTAATACCTAATAAAACAGCGGTATCAGCCACACGTAACTAATTAATCACATACATTATATATATATATATATATATATATATATATATATATATATATATATATATATATATATAATGTATGTGTGTTTTTATAATGAATATTTTTTTCTACAAACTGTATAACAAAATTATTCTTGTTTTACAAAAAATTATATTAAGAACATTTTATTTCACAAAACCTTAAATATTTAATTATCAGCTTTCTATCAATTTTTAAAAATTACACCAAGACTAAATTGTGTCCTAAATCATACCCATTTAAAGTATATTTCCTGTTGGTCTGTTTCCTAGAAGTTAATTAATCCATGAATGCTTCATCAATATTTTTATGTTGTAAGTTGACACCTATTTTGCAGTTTTGGCAACAAGTCATCGATAAAAAAATTACCTATGTAAATAAAAATACCTATGTCATTACAATCCATGGAGGGTCTAGAATTCATCAGTTCGTAACGAAGTACTATTCATTGGTCAACGGTTGTGTAATTAATTATTTAATCGATTATGTTTAATTATTAATTACTTAATTAATTATTTTGTAACTGTATAAGCTGGGTATGACATAGGAGCTTCTCCAAGTCTGATGAAACAGAATAAATAATTATCTGCCACAGATGAATTCAAACCCAGGACCCGAAGCTTAGAAGCACATTGCATTACCAACTGAGCTACTCCGTCGCTGCTTTTATGCCGCCACATTATTAAACTTTAGAAGTGAAGTTAAACGTGAACCTATAAAAAGTGATTCTAACAAATTCTTGATATTTTATTCAGGAAACGATAATCTACCGTATATATTTTCTTCTTTCCTTCCATGGTCAGACCGTAAAACGAAACTTTATTGGCACTACTTCGTACCTGCTTTACAAATTGCATGAAGACCATATGGAGTGTACATGAATGAATCATACCAGCGGTGAATAAGAATATTCGGGGATACTACTGTACGAAACGAACAATAATCAAACTATTTCAACGCTCAATTAATGTCGTTGATGTGAAAGTTTATAATTTTCTTGATTGTTACAACTTCCCGAACTGCAATTTTTCACTAGCTTCAGCTCCGAAGAGGCACGAAGATAAAGTGCTGGCACCTTCAACAATCACTTCCGCTGGTGACGTAACCACTTTGGATCTGCCTCTTCAATACTTTAATACGATTGTTCAAGCGTGTTTATTTAAGCTCCTCTCTCTCTCTCACTCAGACCATTATTTCAGCAGCCATCCCTCGATGTGTAAAAACTAATCTATGGCTGTTTTCGTAAGGAATCAGAACGGACACGAGAACCTTAAATGCTTCTTTTTAACGTGCATTTAGAAGCACTAGTAGATATACCTTGTCCAATATTGTAAGGCCGTCTCCATTTCTCCATTCTTCCACTGCCTCCTCCCTCTCCACACTTCTTCCGATCTAAACAAGTTATACAGGGTGTCCTACAAGTATTTAAAAATTTAGTAGTACATATCAAGATGAACAAAAGAGTTCTTTTAAACGATTGCCCAATTTCCAGCAGAAAAGTAGGAAATTTAAGATTTGTGTTTTTTTAAGGAAGTCTTTTTTTTAAGTTTTCTTTTTTTAAGTTTTTAAGGACGTTTTTTATTGAATAGAAAACGATAACTTAAAGAATATTTAACTTAAGTAATTAACGATTGCTTCATAATAAAATAAACTAAATTTACTTTTTAAAAAAGTAGTAGTATTGTTAAAACCATTTGAAGAGTACTTTTGAGCGGATAAACTAAGCTAAGTTCTGTTTTAAATAAAATCATGAATCATTCCTGATTATTTTTCATCACCCTTCAACTTTACCACAGATTCTCAACTTTTAATTAATGTCCATATTAATTAATGTTGGGTTTATTACGAAATAAGTTGAGATTCATCTCAACAAGTTGTGTAAATAAGAAGTTGATATGAAACCCTCTCACCTAAAACCACCCGTGTTTTCAGACAAAAATGACTACAATAAATCAATTTAAAGCTATAATTTCTATTTTATTCTATTACCTGGCATTTGTTATAATTAAAATAAATTTATGAATAAAATTCACAAACTTTTTATTTATAAGTTTTGGTCTAATATTTTTGGTCTAAAGAGATAATGAATTCCTACAATTGAGATCTGGCTAAACACCAAGGTTTCATTATCACATAAGATGATTTGTATTTGAAGATAACATTATTTTTACGATTTTCTATTTATAAATAAAAAGATTATAGATCTAAACAAGTCTATACAGGTTGGTAAGTAGAAAGAATTATTTAAAAGGTTAATAGTGGACACTAGCGGATCCAGGATTTAATTTTGGGGGGGGGCTTCAGCCCGAAAGATTTTTTTTTCACACACACACACATATATATATATATATATATATATATAACGATAATTAATTTGAAAAAAAAAGAAATAATTACCTATATGAAATGGTGTTTAAGTGGTTCTTGAAGTCCTATTAAACATAATTACACGAACAAGAATACTTTAAGAGATAGTTTTTAATATTTTTGTGGTTATATTTAAACATGGTTATATTTTACCATTTTGGGGAGGGGGGAGGCTTCAGCCCGAAAGCCCTCCCCCCTCCCCCGTAGATTCGCCTGTGATAGTAGACATCAAGATCTACAAAAAACAATTTCTCAATTTCTAGCAGAACAGTAGGAAATTAATGATTTTTGGTTTTTTAAGCGTCACGTTTTTTGTTGATTAGGAAGCAATAACTTAAAAAATATTTAATTTATAAAATTAACAACTGCTCCTCAGCAAACTAGACAAAATTTACTTCAAGAGTTGGTCAATGTTAAAACAATTTAAAGAGGACTATGGAGCGGGAAAACGCAGCTAAGTTGCGTTTTTGTTCATACCGATAATAATTAAAAAATGATTTTCCACATATTTTTCATGTAAAGTCGTTATAAAATTATGTTGTTCTTCCAGATCTCCGTCATTGTAATGGATAAGTATTTATCAGTGGCAACTTAATGTTTCTTACTAAAATTTACGTTTAAAATAAAGAAACCTATTCACAGCATCAATTATTTTCATGAAAACTCAAATATTAGGGCTGGAAACATGGAAAGTTTGTCACTTATACGTATTCCTAATTTCTTAAATAAAATATTTTACAACTAAAAACGTGTGGCATCAAAAAACACAAATCTTAAATTTCCTATTTTTTTTCTGAAAATTGTGCAATCGTTTATATAAACTTTTTTGTAGATCTTGATGTCTGATATCAAATTTTTAATATTTCCCTCTACTTATTGGACACTCTTTATAAAATTAGGAAAAACTATTGTTTTAACTCGACTATATTATGGTTAAACCTTTGTCT